CCTTCGCTCTCTGCGGGGCGTAGCCCTGCTGGTCCTTCAGCTGCACCCAGCCGTCGCCCAGCGACTTGCCTCGCAGAGGGGAAGCGGAAGGATGAGCAGGAGCAGAACGGTCAGGAGGGCACGCGCGCAGACTCTGGCACATGCTAACATGGATTACGGATCCGTGGATCTGGCGCGTGGGCGCCATCATCCTCCTCCCCCTCCTCCCCTCCTCCTTCTCCTCCTTTTCTTCCTCCTCCTGCTCTTTCCTTCTCCTCCTTTTCTTCCTCCTCCTGCTCTTTCCTTCTCCTCCTCCTCCTGCTCGTGATCCACCATCTCTTCCCCGTACGAACAACTCCAAGGTCCCTGGGTCGGGGAAGATACCCCCAATCTGGCGACTAGTGTGGCGCCCTAATTGGGCGCCCAGTTAGGCGCCTAGATTGGCGCCTAACAGAAAGCGCCCGACACAAAGCGAGTGCCGCCGGATTTGGCGACGCGGCGCGTCGTGTCGGTGTGAAGACGGGACCCGTCGTTCGTCTTACGCTTCCTCGAGAGACGGAGGAGGATGGGGAGAGTTGGAGCTGCGTGGCAGTATCCCCCTAATGAGTATTGTTGAACCACTCCCCATCCCAAGCGGCGTGGCCTGGGCCCCACTGGCCGATGTCTCCCCCTAGATGGGGGATATAAGTCATTCCCTTCGGGTTTCGAGGAGTGTATTCCCAGCTGGGGTGGTAATTTGGTGGGGGTCTCGAAGGGGATGTGGATGGGGATGGGGATCGGTCAAACGATACCGACCCGAGGCCCCGCCGCGACTCCAGCTGCGTGGAGGCAGCAGCGCCCCCCCGGCGCCCCCGTCGCCCCGGCCGTCGCACGCTGGCCGTGGTGTCAAGTCGGGCGCGTCCCCCTAACAGGGGGGTTTTGGCCAGAAGATGAATCAACCGAGAAACATGGGCAGAAAGACCCACATATAGTCACACAATGTTTGATTCGCGGGTTGAGAGCGCACCTCTTCCGGTCGAAGCTAAGCGCGCCAGCGCGAAGCTTGAATCAACCAGGGATGGGGGAGGAAAAGGGGGGGCGCAGCCTCCGAACGAGGCCGGGAGGAGGCAGAGCCTCGCATAGAGTCGCACAAAAGCCGTCCCCGGGCTGGGTTCCGACCCTTTGGGAGCAGCCCTCCCGGCGAGGGACGCGCCCGACTGCGCCGTGGTGCCAGGCTCGGCGGGAGCCCGCTCGGGGCAGCCGCCGGGGCGCGGGGCCCGCGCGCCCCCGCAGCTGCTCGAGGCTGCGGCCCCAGCGACTCTCTCTGTTCTGCCAGCAGGGAACTCGAGAGGGCCAGCAGGGCCCAAGGACACACCAAGAAATACACACGGGTAAAAGAACTCCCCATACTTTCCCCTATTTTCTTGGTTTTGTGTTCCCCCCCACTTCCCGTATTTTCCCACATTCTCTGGGAGTCGACGATTAATTGTGTCTGTGTGTTCCTTTCCCTCCTGAAAGAGGGCCAGCAGGGTCCCAGGGCCTTGGACGAAGAACGACAACACGACCACCGCGGCGCAATGGCCCACGCCACTCCAAGTGGCGTGCCCCATTGCCCCGCGGCCGAGTGACTTGGCCGAACAGCGGCGAAGAAACGAGGCAAGGGACCCAGTGGCTGCCCAGGCCGGGCGGCACGGGGAGGGGACGAGGTCGGACGGACGCTCCCCAGCGGGAGGGCGTGCACGCCGATGGGTCGAGAGGCCGCAGGGCAACGACACCGACGTCTGGAGGCCCGAGACAGGGCGGCGACGAACCGTGCGGTGCCTCGGGATCCCCCAGGACCTCACCGCCCGGTCCGTCAACGCACAGCCTGGGGACCTCGGAGGCCCCAGTCGCCCGAGGCGTCCTCGGAGAACGACCCGAGTCCCAAAACCGTGCGGTGACCCCGAATCCCCACCGACTCACCACGCGGTGTGGTCACCACCCCGTTTGGGGGCCCCCGATGATTCAGAGGGCTGGCGGGGAACGCTCAAGAGGCCAAGGGACTCTTGGAGGACGGAAGGCCTGAGCCTTCGATCCGCCAGCGAAGCTACCGTGCCTCGCTCCCAGGAAGAAGCAGAGCGCCCACATTGGGTATATGCAAAGGGGCCCGGGGCACACAACCAAACATGCACGAATCCCAGGAGCCCCCCCCATCTTCCCAGAGGTCCTGGGCTCTCGTCTCCCCCCCACACCTCCCGTGGTTTCCCCTGCCTTCCTGGGAAATCGACGATCGGGTGCGTCTGTGTGTGCGTGTCCTTCTCCCCTCCCGAGCACAGGCCCTCGAGGGCCCGCGCAGACGTTTTTTCTGTGGCGATCGGCGCCGGGCCGCCCCCCGTCGCGGCCGGCGGAGCGGGGGCGCCCGACGGCCGGGGAGACGTCGGGCCCCCGTCCCGACGGCTTCGCGGGGCCTGCGAGTGGAGCAAAAAGAAAGTTCGGGGCGGTGCGGCGTAGGGCCAGGGAGCAGGACGCCGGGGGCCCGGGGCAAGGGGAGACTGGCAGCAAGGGCGGGGGGGGACATCGAGCCGGAATCGGCGATGCCTCGACGGCAGATCCGCGATGGGACCCCAATGGCGAATCCGCACGTGACTCACGCCACCGATATATCTATTTTTATATATATATACATACATACATACATACATACATACATACCTACCTACCTACCTACCTACCTACATACATACATACATACATACATACATACATACATGCATACATGCATACATACATACATACATACATACCTACCTACCTACCTACCTACCTACCTATCTACCTACCTACATACATACATACATACATACATACATACATACATACATACGTACATACATACATACATACACACATACATACATACATACATACATACATACATACATGCATGCATGCATGCATGCATGCATACATACATACCTACATACATACATGGGCACCCTCCGACGAATGTTGCATGTACCTTCAGGGAGGGCGGCGGTGTGTAGATTCGCTGGCTCCCAGTGGTGATTCATACACCGCCGCCCTCCCCCGAGGCCCAGGAACGATGCAATTCTAGGGCGCCTGTGTACATGTTTGGTGGCGAACTCCTGGGCGGGGTGGGCGATCGGGGCCGTCGACGATCCGTAGGCGAGTGAAGCCCAAATGCATCCCCCCCCGAGCCCAGCACCCGCCTCACGTCGGCCTTCGGGTCACAGCTCGGGTCTTCGGCGGCCGTTCGGGACGAGCTGGGCACACCAGGAAATCCCCGAGGCGGGAAAACCTCCCGGAGCCAACGAGGACGTCTGGAGCCTCCTGGCAAGGCTCAGGGTTGCGCACCGACAGCCCCCCTGGGTACCGAATGGTATTTGTTGCGGGGGGGGCGCGTGAGTTGTGACAGGTGTGAAGATCTGGAAACGTCAGCCCCATACCATCCTGAGTACAGATTTGAGACAATCTAACGATCAGCCATGTGGCACAGCGTCCGATGTGTGTTCAAGGGATCGCACGGAAGAATCGCAACCTAGACACGACCTTGAACCGGCTGGGGCGGCGCGTCTGGGTCACAAAGCTCAAAGTGTTAGAGATTCAGGCCGGTATGGTTTGGGTTCAATGGTGCTGTTCGAACGCGGGCGTCAAAGTTAACGCGCCAGAATTCGGTCGCCAGGGCTCGGGCGCTCGCAGCCGATGTCCACCAAATGGTATGTTTCGCCAGGGATGGCGTGCACCGAATTGTCATTTGATGAGGGGGCACGAGGATTGGCCTCCGCAGACGCGCACCGATTTGTATATGCTTTGCAAGGGGTCGAGGTCTGGTGGGTGTGAAAATCAGAGAATGCATCGGGTACGCATTGCTCTGGTTGCCTTGGAAGCGCCAGGGAGTCTTGGAGACATGGGAGCGCGCTGTGAGGATCGCCCGATATCCACGAAGTGGTATCTGTTGCCAGGGATCGGCAGCGTTGGATAGATGCGAAGACGAGCAGATGCGCACCGAATTGTATATGGTCAGCCGAGTTCTTGCAGGAAGAGGATTCTCGAGGGCCGCGGAGGCCTCCCTTCGCGGATTCGTCGACTCGTCGATTCGTCGATTCGTCCCGGCTGCTCCGCGCTCCCGCCGCCCGAGTCCGAGGCAGGGCAGGAAGCTTCGGCGCGCGCTCCCGAAGGAGCTGTCATGCTCCTCCCGCCGGTCCGACCGCCTCGCTGGGGAGCTCGCGGCGGGCTGCTCTCTCGCTGCCGCCGAGGCGCGCCAAGACCGCCACGACTGCGCCAAAGTACGCGGATTCGCGCGCGCGCTCGGAAAAGTGGGGCGTACACGAGTGCACGCCTGAGCAGGCAGAAGCGTAGATTCTAGAGGAACGAAACATTACCTCGGAGGTCCGCGCGGATTTCTCGGATCGGCGCTGAGGCCAAAGGTGTCCCTGGCGCGCGGAGCGCGAGCGCAAAGGGCGGTGCCGTGCGCGAAGTGACGCGCGCGCTTGGAGGCGCAGAAGCGCGCCGCAGCGCGCAGGGCGCGCAGGTGCGCCGAGGCCTGCGGTGGCGCGCAGATGCGCAGAGGGAGCCCTGTGGCTCCCGGGGGCGCCCGGGCGCCCACGCGCGCAGACGCGCGCGGACGTGCTCAGCAGCGCGTCGCGCCGCGCAGCCGTGCGCACGCGACGAGGCGCGCGGGCAGACGCGCGCAGAGCAGCGCAGGAGCGCTTCCAAGGCAGGCCCGCCTCGCACCGGCCTCGCCGCGGGCGCTGGCGGGGCAGCAGCGCGGGCGCGCGCAGCGTGGCCGCGCCGCCGCGCTGCCGCCCGCGCGGCTGGCGTTGCCCACCCGCCGTCCCTGAGGTGGTGCGCCTCTCGAGTGGGGGGATCGCCTGCAGAATTGCTTTGCACCAGAGTTGATGTCTCCGTGGGCTCTACGAACGAGTGAGTGTTCGTAGATACAAGCGAGGCTTCCTACGCAGTTCCCGCAAAAAGTCGACGGGGAAGTCAATGTTGGGGCAGATCAATTCTGTAGTCGATCCCCTAATCGAGTCTAGTGTTCAGTCGGGCGTCCCCCTACAGGGGGATTTTCGACAAAAAATTGAAGATACCCAAAAAATGCCCCAAAATGG